ACAGTGAAATTCGCCAATTATCATCGGCTATTGTTGTTGATCAATCCTGGAACGTGAAAGTCTTATTGGCGACGAACGCCTACAACTACACGAAATGATTTTCCGTTGAACAATTGCTACCACGGGGTTTAAGCCGCAGAAAATGAAATTTCTATGTATTTTTCCGATAGAAAGTAATCATTAAACGATCAGTCACAAAAAATAACCCACAGGATTCACCGCAACCAACGTGTAAATGAATGAAATACACCGTGACTGTTTTTAGTATTACGGCAAAAAATGATAAAAATAAATGCTTTTCTACTTATATCTAAAATAGCGATATAGAACTATATATTAGGTAGTAGTATTGAGAAATCATTGATAGAGGTTTGACCCGATTGATCAACCCATTGACGTGTAGCTAAACGACGGAAATATAACCAAATCAAAACTAGGGCAGACTTGTCATTTATTTTTTCATTTTACCCAAAGCGCTCATTACTTTTTAAAATATAGTAAAAAAGTACTAAAAAAAATGTTTGTCACATAAACATAGGAATAGAACATTACTTTGCAACTACACAACTAATATTTATTAGTCCACTAAATTGATCAAAACCACCAATAATCCGTTAGTTAAATAATAATTATTAAAAATCCAAAACGAGGGCATTGCTTTTATTTTATACAAATTTAATTGTAGGTACATTTATTTCATAAACTTTAATAAAAACAAAGCAGTTTTTTTCAATCAAATTATTTACTCGTAATTAAAAAATATTATACAGTAGTAATAATAAATTTAAGAAAGGCATTGATCATAAAATTAATTTATTTAAAATGGTGAATAGGTCAACTACTGTTTTAATATAGCAATTATTATTGTCGGTTATACAATCCAAGATAACGTTTCTTGTCTACGATAATAAATTAAAAGAGAACTTAGAAAACCTGTAGGTGTAGTAATTTAAATGGTTTATTCAAGTAGGCACATAGTAGTTACATGATTTAATAGTTAATACACGCGAATGGTACTATTTAATTTTAAATTCATTAGTTATTAAAGTAAGCGATTCAAGAATATACTAAATTAAGTATAGATTAATCTTTCATTCAAAATTTTCAAAATGAAAAACAAATTTGCTATAATTATTGAAATATTAAATCAAACTTGATAAACTACAAGTTTATACGTGTACAAATATTCTTTAAATCTTTTAACAATAACAAACCTTTAAATTTAAAATGATTGTAACTTATTATTTAATAATTAATATAATATTATAATATGTGAAAATAAAACATAGTTATGATTTATTCTACTGATAAATAACAAGGTACTTAGAAGACGCACTATATTACATAGTATAAAATACAAGAATTGCAAAGATTGATTTTTATAAAACTAATTATTTGACAAAATGAATTAAATTAGAAAAATTTTCTTCTAAACTAATGAAGGTTTAATTTAAGTTATACAGTAGACGCCGCTTATAAGATTCACGGATAAAAGGTTCAGTCGCTTATTAGACTCAGAATCGCCTAGAACGGACGTATCCAAATGCATTAAAAAAAAATCGGTTTTAAGACTCAACACTTCGGTTATAAGACTCAAATGTCGTAAAATAAATAGTAAAAAATAAACTTTTTTGGTTATAATTTAGAAATAAATTGGTTTTGAAAAATGAAATAATATTCGTGTTGATTATTTCTAGTTTCTGTTGGTACCTTATAACGTATAATAATTTTTATATCAGATAAAATTTCACATTTATCGGGATTATTAAATTTATTCAATAATAAAGTATGTAATATGTAATATGTGTTAATGTATTAAAATCAAAGCAAAATATGTAGTAAAATAAAATTTATAAATACGTAATTAATTTTTTTTTCCACTTCGCCTATAAGATTCATTCGGTTATAAGACTCATTTTGTGCTGGTCCCAAAGTGAGTCTTATAAGCGGCGTCTACTGTAGTATAAAACCTCTATTTTCTCTTCTTTAAAATCTATCTAAGAAGTCTTTAATCCACATGATGTACCTACCTATATCAGAATACTGTACAATCCGTATTTATACAACTGGTTATTTTCTACTGTTTGATTATAACTTCTTTTTTAACCTAAGCTCGTCAATTATCTATCTGACATACATGCATTATCATTTAAAAAAAAAAATTGATTATGAAATTCATATACTTAACGATAGTACTTATTTAATGACGTTGGTAACTGGAAAATTTATATAGTTCCAAGGCGAAAATCTACACAACAAATGCTATTTTATCATTAAAATGAATACGATTTAAACATGTAATATAGTGATATAATAACAAATTATATTTTTTAATAGATATAAAAATCGAGTTATTAAATAATAAATAGTAGGTATTAGATTATTCAATAAAATTGATACCTACCTTGATAAAAATTATGTATATTAATTTTAATTTATAAATGCGTGATTGTGTGTTAAGTTTTTTAAATAAAGTACATATTTGAGTTAGTACTTTAATTGGTTATTCGTAAAATATAAAGAGTCAATAGTTTTTAAAATCTTTTTGAGTTATAATCGATATAACTTAAATAATGGCTATGATAAAAAATTTAAAAATGCTGTTGCAGATTTCTTTGGATGCTCCCGAGCATCTTTATCCTTGGTAAGAAAACATTAAAAATTATAATAATAATAACAAATGGATTTCTACCTATGTAAAAGTATTACATAACGAGTATATTTCAGCAAACAATTCTAGATTACAAATATATCCATAGCATATAGTATTAAGTGTGAATTTTCGTATACATGACACATACATAAACATATACCTAACCTTTAGGTATAGACAAATAGATGAACATACTTATATATAATAATGTCTTTTCGCATAGAAACACAGTGACCGATACATTTTTACAATAAATTACAATTTATTGAATTCAGTGGTCCTGATCAAGTACTCACAGTTCTATCACCTTCGCTATTGCTCTTTAGACCTAAACGATATTAGACCTTGGAACAACCAAGGACGTCGCTTCAAACGAACCGTTTATAAGTTACCGTCATCTTGGAGTATCATACAACAGATAATACCTACCGATTTAAAAGAAAAATATGATAATGAAATATAAAATAATAACGACTAGGTACAAAATTGTATTAACATTATTATAGGTTAATATCTGTTTAATGTGCATGAGTAACAAGGTTATTATTAGCAGATATGTTATATCAAAATAAATTATTATTGAATGGAAAATTATTATTACTTTGCGGTAGGTAACGAATTATGAAATAAATGATTGATGAATTCTTCGAAATTAACACATTCAAGTGTTTTTCGGTAGTACTTATTAAAAATATGGATAACAAAATATTATATACTTTATGATACATTATATTTTAAAAATGATTTAGCTTTGAATTATATTAATATACTACACAGATATAGTTATAAATAAAACGTGTATCTGTCAAAAGAAATCGAAATAAAAGTATTAAAAATCAAAGATATATTATGTAATTTAATATGGTATAAAATGAAATTAATACCTAAAAAGAAATGGTTACGAAATACATAGGTAAAATTGAAATATTATCACAATGAACTCGATCAATTGATGTTATCGCAATACAGATTTATAGAAATTTTTCTCTTTTGCATCATATCCGTAGTTAGGCTATCAAGTAGATTGGCTATTTTAATGTCGTAATCCGTTACCATGTTCAAATCAAAATAATTTAATTACAAATACAAAAAATAATATTCCAATGTTATGTAGTTATGGTATTATTACAACCTTTATCCCTAATCTAGCTTAATTCTTATGGATTTTCAAAGTTAAAATCTATAGGTAGATTAATTGCAGTAAGTTAATTTAACTAAAATATATATATACTGTATATATAAAAATGTAAAATAAAAATGAATTTATTAAAATTCTGCATTATATAATTATTTTTATAACATTTTAAAATAATCGACTTTCAATACGCGTGCCCAATTTTTTTTTAATGAAACTCATTTTTTTAAAACATTTAATACATTTTTTTAACAATAATATTCAACACTTTATTAGTATTAATATATAGTCTCACGTGCAGATTCATTTCAATATGCGACGCATCTTCAAAAATCATGAGTATGTTTTAATTAAGTTTATGAAACACGCAAACACAATCCAAAAAAAAAAAAAACAACTATTATATACAACTCTTAAATACATCAAAAGAACAGGTACTGTCAATATAGCTATCATAATAACATCAAACACAACCAAATGACATAATCATTATACACTTGAAGCAAATCAGTATAAAATCTTGCTTTGAATTATTGCATTTTTTACAATAATTTTGATATAACTTTAGAAGATGTAGAAGGTGCAGATATGCAGACATTTTAGGCTTTCATTAAAGATGATTAGATAAATTCAATGAAAAGGTAAGTACTACTTTTAAAACTATAATATGAAAAAATAACAAACTGAAGAAAAATGTACCGATATTAATGATCTGGATTTTACATACCTGCAAGTATTTATACCTACTTATATTACGACCAGATCAACGACAAATACAATCTGTTACATAGTACAATAGATATTTTGTTATAACACACTCAAGGTCTTTTGAGTAAAAAGCACTATTGTCAGGAAAATAAAAAAACCGTTGCAATTAGTTCCGTTCTAAATTTGTTTGCTACAATAAAGGTAACACGGTAACAGCAATTTTGGGTGAAAGTCTTAGATTTATTTTTGGTACGAGGCGTAGGCTACAGTATCCTTGAATTGTTAAGAAAATCGATGAAACGGTAGCAAATACTTATCACACACACGCGCACACGCTATAGAAGTTTTATAACCGTAGGTCGTATTATGGACATTTGTCGACTAACCGTTTTGGCAAAGTTCCACTCAAGCACATATATTATTATATGCAAAAGCATAAGGATACGTATTTTTGCACGCAGTTATCAACATTTTAAAGATTCATCTAATACTTATTTTTCTTACCTGCGATTGGTTTTAATCGGTTCATCTTCGTCCAACGAACTACCAGCTCCCGAATCCTATAACAACCAATAAATAAAAATACATTAGACAATTAAATCTCGTGAGCTTTATATTTAATGAATTAAATCACACTGATTATGTATACACAATACACGATAATATGCAAATCATTTAAATTATATTATAATACTTATATTAACATAACCTAATATTGTAAAGAGTGAGAAATACGAAAACATAAAAGTTGACCTACACTTTAAAAACAAGTTTTACGAGAAAACACGAAGAAGTGATTAATGCAGTTAAATGTTTGCCCGTTATTTGAAACTGTTGTTTTCATTATTGTGCATTACACTCGACTTTATTTCAAGGTCAAATTTAATAACATTAAGTTGCACGAAAATGGTAGTAATTAACTAGAACAATTTTATTGAATAAGATTTTTTTAACGAAAAAAGATTAACTATACAGTATAGTAGTAGCTATATAAAAACGGGAGTTGAAAAAAAAACAGATTTATTTTATTTTTATAATTCTCTCGTGTGATGTATGGGCCAAGTTCAATGTACTGCAAACAATTGTATATAACAGTACACAGCCTGGCCACATCGTTCAATATAATAATTATCATTAAAGCGCTGGAAATTGTAATGCACCGTATCTAAGCGACTAACCGCAATACATAAGCCTAAATAATTTTTTTTAAGTTTATTTTCATTGTTGGTATTACTGTCGGGCTTTCAAGCGATCCACAACACTATATACTGCAAATGTATTTGTACCAGTGAACAAACGAGGTATCAACTACAAGCAGTTTATGGATAGAATATCACTTTCCGCCGATATGATGCACTTTTAAACACGTATATACACTTAATAATAAATAAGTCCATAACAAACGGTTTTAATTATAACGGTAATTCAAGAAAATCAAATATATGATGTTAAAAACACGATAGTGCGAGATTACAATATATTCAGAAAAATCATAGTTGATAATTATTGTTTATTTTGAACAATACAATATAATTTAGTATCTTGTATAGTATTTAGTATTTACAAAGACGTTAATTAGTAATTACAAATAAGATAAGTATTATTTTATTGTTTGACAACAACGACTTATTATATTTCCTGTCATTAAAATAAAAACACATCATAATAGTATAATCTTTCTAGTGAACACCACTTAAAAATATATACTCTCGTCAATACTTCAAGTTTTAATGCTTTCATATTTAAAAAAATTAATATTTACAATATTCCAATAAGATATGCTATTAAAGGATATACGATTTTGTTTTCAATGTAGGAATAATTATTTAACTAAAATATTATAACTTACAAATGCTCTTTAAATATTAATTGTTGTTTTTTATGATAATAGAAATACTCGTTACCATAACTTCAACACACACTTCAATTTTCTAAACAATTATAACTTAGAAAAATCAGTTTAATGCACAATGGGTTCCCTATTTTAAAAACAATTATTCAAAATAAATGACTCATCGCAAGAATAGGATAGTGAAAGCTTGTTGAACTATAATGATATTTATTATTAATTATTCAAAATCCCACATAATATCGAACGAATAATTAATAATTGTATTGAGATATATATATATAAAATATATACAGTTTCTTAAATCCCAAAAGTGACATGATACCACTTATAAAGGTATTTTGAATTTTACACTTGAGTCATTATTTAATAATATACATAGCAATATAGGTTCTATGTAATGATCAAAGGCTATAATCTATTTATAAAAAAAATAGAAACAACTAGATAACTAAACAAAAACCTGGAAAAACAATAAAACAATGAAATCATAAGACAAATGAAAATATGCCAGAAATTAATTTCACGATAATAATTCACACAACTAAATTTTCCATGAAATAAAATAATTTTTCGTAACTTTTTTAAATTTGAATTTACTGGCAACATCAATTTTTCATAATTATATAGAATATTTACGTTAACGACAACATCTAGCGGTGATGGTATCAGTGTTAAAAATATGATAACATGTATAATGCGGATGACATCGTGGCCTACAATTGAACGTAGGTAAATCAGTGAATTTAATTTCGCGGGTGGAAGATTCACGTCCATGGAAATAATAACAAACGATTGTGTGCGGACACTTTCACTGTCACGACCCCGGCTTGCACGACTGCGACAAAACACGGTTATGGTGGATAGGGTTGTATATAGTATAGACTAACAAAAATAATAAAGTAATAACAATAAAAAAAAAAAAAAAAATGAAATGAAATGAAATGAAATTATAGCCATTTAAACGATTTCGAAACAATTTTCTCGGTTCTAGGTCACGGAGAGGCGAAAAAAAAGGTTAAAATTGTGTAGACAAAATTAAGCCATACACACTTCGCCGAACGCTGCGTTAGTACGTGCCACAGCTGACCCATGATCTCCACGTTGTTTAGTGTTATTCACATTATAAAATGTATAGGTAACAGTTGTCAGTTAGTGATCTTGTGTACCTATGTATATTGCTGTATAAATAAATTTTTTTTTATTATATGTATAATGTATAATGTATATATATAGTTTAGCTTTAATATTTATCATTAAAGATTTTACTTTTGTTAATATGTCAATAATAACTGTCAATAATAATTTATCAAATTTTATTTACCAAAACATACTACTCATTATAGTCATTATACCATTGACAATTGAGATTCGACATACATATTTCCAGGTTTGTCTAGTTTAAATAGTGTTTTGAAATTTGTATAATATATACATTACACAGCTACAATAGGGCATACGAATATACACTAATTTAAACAATATTGACAGTGCAGGATATAAAGGTATAAAAAGCACAAGACACACGTTACAGTATATAATATGAAAAAAGAATAAACGCTTATTTAATATTACATAAATAGGTAAAACTTAACCTTCAAACTTTTCATTTCAAAAATATACTACGGTCAATAGTAAATAAAAATATGTAATAAACTAAAATTTACATAAAACAGCCTTTGGTAAATATATTTGCAATATATATGATTCAAATCACAACTAAAATTTAAAATAATAACCTAATGTCCAGGGTATCACTTAAATCATTTTATCAAATATTATATCGTTATCGCCAAGGTTTCAGAATTGAATATAATACAATACTTAAAAACAATATTATTATTATGATAACTATTAAAGTCCTTTCTGAGATATAAAACAAATAATACAATACTATTAGCATTGATCAATGCTATTAAGTTAAAAATGTTTAACAGTCATAAGATAAGTGGTTTGTTTTTATAACAAATGTATGTAACGACATATAAGTTAGAGCGTACATAAAGTTGAAACATTCAGTTTAAAAAAACAATTAATATTTGAATGTTTTTTTTCCGTTAAAAAATCGTCCGTTACAAATTACACAAAAACGCAAAATTTAGTAATATAAATTATACGTATGATATTAAACAATTACAACCACAACAATAATAATAAAGACAACACTATATATTATGACACGGATAATAAATTGGTAGATAGCGTGTATACGATGCACATCAACAACAAATACAAAAATCAAAAACATTATATATACTCAAATCTTATCGTGTCATCACTAACGACAACTATACACAATATCGATACATATGACCTAATGGCTAGTACAAATATATTGTTATAAATTTAATCATCGTTTTGAAGTATAAGCAATTGAAAATACTATAAGTTATCGTTTCAAAATTTTAACTTAAGTACTTATATACCTACGATATAATGACGATCCCTGTGAGGGATAGTTATTTTTTTATAAACAACTGGTAAACATGTTTTATACCCATAAAAATTGTTGATTCATTCGTTTGAATTTAACCATATAGAGATTTTATTAAAACAAATGACATAAATATGTAATAAAATATGTTATATACATCTCATCTTTGTCTACACTTTGACTTACATCATTGCAGTAAATAATTGGTTATAAACATATTTTCTTCGAAAATTTAAAATTAATAAGTATTTGTTTGACGATTATTAAAAGTGAGAGAATTGCAAGTATTATATTAAAAAAAAAAAAAAAAAAAATACGAATATATCCAGAAAATCTGTAGAGATATCGATCGATTCGCATGAGAAAAATCGCTTGCTCCCGTAGGTATTTACATTAATATATTATAATATTATAGTATAAAATGCGTGAACACAGTACTGCATATTACGTGTGCGGGCTTGAGGCTATAACACTATACGGTTGCAAAATCTACTATATAATATTAATATACAATAGCTCTGTACGCGTTTAAATTACGATATTATAATATATTATAAATTATTATTATTATGCATTGCCGACGTCGCGCCGGTGGTGCAGAATGCAGGCATAGATACATTTTATCTATAATGAAAATACGGAGTGATGCAACACACACAGTAACACTAACACACATCTATTATAACATACGATATAATATTTAGGTGAGCGTGTACGCTGCGTAAACAGAGTTGTGCACCGGTGCTGCTGCTGATGCGTTTTTCGTGTTCGGCGCACTACGCGGATAAAACAATTATTATTATTATTATTATTATTATTATCGTCGTCGTTGTTGTTGTTGTTATTGTTGTGGTTACCTCGTTGCAAAACTACAGCAGCACGCGGAGCTCAATGCGTACAGATGTGCTCTCATATTATAATAATATTGTAAACACGAGTTGTAATAATTATTATTGTCGGTTATTGTATATTATTTTTATATTATTATTATCGCTGTTGTGGCGGTAATAATTGCTATTATGGAGACATACGCGTTACACTGTTATGAGTATTGTTGCTGCGGCATAATCGTGTGATGTATCGATATATAGGTAGGAGAATAAATCACAACTACGCACAATACGGCCAATCGATCCGCGGTACATGTGTAACGCGCGGAAGCGAATCGTGCGCCGTTTTGAATTGAACATTTAGAAATTAACTAGGAGAATAAAAATATTGCGTATTATAACATTGACCTTGTAAAAGGTGTCTTTTACGTTTTTTTTTTCTTTTTT